CGACAAGTTCAATGCAACTTAGTGTACTCAAGGAAGAATTTAAGACTGCCAAGAGCGAGATCACGGCCCTCCAAATTGCAATGTAAAAATTGCCAGAGCACAGGCAAAACTATGCTGACTCGACCAGGTTTCCCCAGGAATCAACGACGTTTTGGATATGCCTGCGTAGAGCCATCTTCCGAGGGTACTGAGTCCTAAGATAGAAGGCTACTACAAGATGAAAGGGAGATGTCCAAGCTCGGGCTCTAGTCTCGACTTGCTGGATCGCAATCTTAAGACGGTTTTTTCCAGGAGGAGAGCCGTAGGCGAAAGCGTCCGTTCTGCTTGTCAGTTGAGACCAGAGTGTCGATCATTGGATCGACACTGAGCTCCTTCGATCCGGCGTTCGAAGGAGGGTATACGCGCACGCACTCCACTGTGACGAAAAAGAAGGGATAGCACGTACCATCGCTATAGTTTCGATCTCCCATGAAAAATCTATACTACTTTGTACTAAACTATGTAACTGTACGAATGTACGGTTACATATGTACGCTTTTTTGCGATGTTTCTGCTAGATTTAATGTACGCGTCTTCTTTTGCCCGCAGTATGTATTCTGGATTTCTAATAGGCATTTCTAATAGGTGTTGTTCCGTGAAGAACACACGGGACCCTATACCATAAATTTATATTCTTTTCTTTTTTTGTTATTTTCCACGACACTACGAATTGACCAGCCATTGTTAAACCCCTGTACCGTTTCTTAATGGCTAACATGCCAAGGGTCAACTTCGTGGTTCCGTTGGAACCTTTACTAAACTAGGATTTTCCATTGAGCGTTACTAACAATAGCTATGCCTTCGAGTGCAAATTTGTACACAGAATGACATCTGGAATGCAAACCGCTAGCACGTTTATGACGCGCAAGCCTGCAGAGTCATTTTTGAGTCAGTTCATTTATAAATCCTGTAATTTATACTTTGCCGAGTTTCTCTGTCCTCAACGACTAATTGCATGTGTCGTAAACGTAAATTTCCAAAGGGCCTTGGGACCGGGCCTAATGGCCATCATCGGGGTCGGGTTACGGAACCCAGGCCCGGTGAGGGTTCCATCCCGTTGACAAATTCCCACACCCTCGCTTCCCACACCACTTCCACTGATACCCTACTCCGCACGGACCGCGTTTCGAACGTACGGGGTGGGTGGAGTCAGTGAATCTGTAGGGTTGTTGAATAACTAAACACTCGCAACAATAACGGTATTTATTTAAGTCTTATTACGCGTCGCGTCTCTTTGCGCGTCAGTCTTCTCTTGTTCTAGTGGCGCCGTCGAGTCGTGTCGCCAACCTGTGCGCACAACTCTGTCTCGGCCTAGAAAAGTCCCTAGGCTGCCGCCACACCTCCCCCCCGCCAGTACCGACGCTATGCGGAGGGAAATACAATTTAGAATATGAGATCCTTATTATGCTTACAACAAAATACAATATAAAATGAGTCGACATATCATATGCTTATATCTACGATAATTCTTTACATAAAATATAGATTAAATTTGTAATAACACGCTTATGTCTACGATAACTTTTCTTAATATATATAAAATATGAATTAGGCTTGTAACAACGTATACATTATTAATTGCGCAAAAGAAATAATGAATTTAGCTTAAAGATATTAGTAAATATTAACAGATATTGTGACAATCTGTGTGATCCTATCTGCGGTAAATATTATCAGTCTTGCTAAATGTCTTAATACTGTCTTTCATTGTGAAATGCACGCGTTTCTTTTGAGCTTCTACTTTGGTTAATGACTTGAACGTAGCTTCCACTTGGACAAAAGCTGGTTTTAACCTATCTGTCGCCACCTTAACGTTTTTATTTTCTACCTGAATAGTAAATTGCTTTTCGCCCCGCTCGACAACTCTGTGTGGACCCGAATAGGGTGCTTGCAAAGGTTTTTTTACACCCTCCTGTCGCAAATATACATGGGACGCTGTCGCCAAGTCTTTAAAAATGAATACTCCTTTTTGGCCGTGTCTTACCGGGTCGACTGGCTTTATCTGACTGATCTTTTCCTTCAGCTGCTGCACAAATTGCGAGACTTCTGTTTCTGCGCCCCGGATCAGGAACTCTCCGGGTAACCGGATTGCTTCCCCGTAGACCAGCTCGGCCGCTGATGTTTTAAGGTCTTCCTTGAAGACTGCTCGGGTCCCCAGCAAAACCCAGGGCAAAGTCTCGGTCCAACGCTCGTTCCCGTGGCATTTGATTGCAGCTTTTAATTGCCGATGCAACCTCTCCACGATTCCGTTGGATTCCGGGTGGTACGCCATGGTTCTCAGGTGTGTTGTGCCTAGGATGCGAGCCAATGCGTTGAAAAGGTATGACTCAAATTGCCTACCTCGATCAGTGGTAATCCTGAGAGGAACTCCAAATCTTGAGATCCATTCCTCCAGGAACGCCTGCGCCACCGTCTCCGCCGCAATATTCGACAGCGGAATCGCCTCTGGCCACCGTGTGAATCTGTCGATGCAGGTCAGGCAATATTTGTATCCATCAGAAGGAGGGAGCGGCCCAACCAAGTCGATGTGGACATGCTCAAATCTTCTCGAGGGCGTTGGAAACTGCCCTATAGGCGGCTTGCAGTGTCTGCCTATCTTCGCTCTCTGACACGGAGCACATTGCCTGGACCACTCTCTAACATCCCTCTTCATCCTGGGCCAAACAAATCTATCCGCTACCAGTCTTGCCATTACCCTGGCCCCTGGATGGCTTAGGTTGTGTATCGCTGCGAAAGCCTGTCTTGTGTAATTTGCCGGAAGGAAAGGCCTCTCTCTTCCCGTAGAAATGTCGCAATATACTTCTATCTGCGTATCGGGTAACACTATTTTTTTTATTATGAGCGCCGTGTCAGACCTTCTCAATCTTTGTAATTCTTCGTCTGTTTCCTGGTCCCCACCCAATGCGTTGTAATCTATGGCTGTTGTTACCTCCGAAATCCTTGATAAGGTATCCGCTACCACGTTATCTTTGCCGGTCACGTGACGTATGTCTGTTGTAAACTGTGAGATGTACGACAAATGCCTGAACTGCATGGGTGAGCACTTCTCTAATTTCTGCCTGAAAGCATAAATGAGCGGTTTATGGTCGGTAAACAGAACAAAATTTCGACCTTCGAGCATATGTTTAAAATGCTTTATAGCCTGGTATGCCGCCAACAGTTCTCTATCGTACGTGCTGTACTGCGATTGCGGCTTATTAAATTTCTGACTGAAAAATGCCAATGGCTGCCATTTCCCGCTGACACGCTGCTGAAGTGAAGCGCCAGCGGCCAAGTCCGACGCGTCCACAAAAACGGCCATCTCGGCTTCTTGAGATGGGTGCGCTAACAATGCTGCGTCGGCGAGGGCCTCTTTGGATTTGCCAAATGCCCGTTCCGCTTCCTGAGTCCAGACCACCGCCTGCTTTCCTTTTCCTGCTCCCTTAGTTGCTTCCTCCAACGGGGCCAACACACCTGCGATATTGGGCAGGAACCTTCTGTAGAAATTAACCATCCCGAGGTAACGTCTTAACTCGGTGACAGTTTTTAGCTGTTTAACGTCCCTTATAGTTGCTACTCTTTCCTCTGGGGGTTTAATTCCTTCCTTGTCCACGGAGTATCCTAGGAACGTCACCTTCTCCCGGAAGAAATTACTCTTCGCTAGATTAATTACAACTCCATATTCTTGGAGGCGGGCGAAAAGCTGTTTCAGGTGCTGCTCATGCTGATCTACGTTCTTAGATGCGATTAATATGTCATCTATATACACAAAACAGAAGTCCAACCCCCTTATTACTTCGTCCATAAACCGTTGAAAGGTTTGCGCAGCATTCCTTAAGCCGAATGTCATGTAACAGAATTCGTATAGGCCGAACGGAGTGATGATGGCGGTTTTTGAAATATCCTGCTCGGCAATTGGGATTTGGTGGTACGCTTTAACCAAATCCACTGTGGAAAATACTGTTTTTTCGTATAAGTTTTGTGAAAAATCCTCTATGTGAGGGACTGGGTACCTGTCCGGAACGGTCCTAGCGTTGAGGCCCCTGTAATCACCGCACGGCCTCCATTCTTTATTCTTTTTGGGAACGAGGTGAAGGGGCGACGCGCAACTGCTCTTTGATGGCCTTATCACGCCCAGTTGCAGCATCAACTCAAATTCCTTTTTGGCAGCCCTCAGCCTATCAGGTGCCAATCTTCTTGCTTTGCTGGCTAACGGTGGACTTGGCGTGGTCACTATGTGGTGTACCGTCTGATGCTTGGGCGATTGGAAATGCTGCACCGGTCTAGTGATGCTGGAAAATTCTCGCAATAGTTTAATAATGAAGGGGTTAGAATGTGAAATGGACTTGACGGAGTCTGAGGCAAACGCCAGTCCTCCTCTTACCGCCAGCTTAGTCTCTTGATCGATCAGCTGCGCACCCTTCAAATCTACCAACAACCCATAATGTGTGAGAAAATCAGCTCCAATAATGGGCTTGGCCACGTCCGCAAGCAACATTTTCCACGGAAAACTTCTCCTCAGCCCGAAGTCGACGGTCACTGTCCAGTCGCCATAGGTTTTAATTGGCGTGCTATTTGCTGCGTACAGCACGAAATCGCTGCTTTTTCGCCGTTCGCTGTGCCATTTCGCAGGAACCACGCTCACGTCCGAACCGGTGTCTATCAGGTATTCAAGTTTAGAGGCTCGGTCCTGCAGGAAAAGGCGGCACGATCTCGTTGCCGTTCCGATTGCCCCCATGCCGGTCCGGCTAATTAGTTTCCCGAAGCCGATGGGGCGTATTTGCAGGGCGGAATGCATTTATTCGCTTGTTCCCCCCATTTATAATGATACTAGCAATCATCATACCTTTTCTTTGACGTCTGAGCGCGCTTTGCACTCGGGCTTCGGCCGCGTGATTTTCCGCGCCCTCTGTACTTCCACGGGCTTCTTGACCGACGCGCCATCTGCTCCACCATTTTGGTTAACTCTTCTACTTTCCGCTCTAGGGCGGACGTCGCAGAGGGTCCTTCCACCGCCGCCATCTTGTCCCCGGCGCACGTGGGGCTAATTCGTACACTTTGTCTGCCAAAACTATGGCGTCTTCCAAAGGTGCGGTCTCCTGGGTAGCCAGGATAGCTTGCACCGTTTGTGGCAGCCTGCTAGACCAAATGCTTCTTAAAAGCTTTTCAGGTACCGCTTCTCCTCCCAGGCCTTTTAGATGCCTCAAGAATTGGCTGGGCGAGCGATCACCCAATTTTTCCTTTTCCAGTAATTGCCGGAGCTTTTTGTCTTCCGACTGCGACAACCTGGCGATTAATTGACGCTTAAGCGTATCATACCTGTCCGCAGCTGGCGGGTTCTTGATTACATCGGCCACTTCCCTCGCGTAGCGTCCCTCGAGGTTGCCGACGACGTAGGCAAATTTTGTGGCATCCACCGATATCCCGGCCACATGAAACTGGCCCTCCAGCTGCGCAAACCACGTCTCGGGTTCTTCCACCCAAAACGGGGGCACCTTGACGCTAACCGCTGCGACTGACGCATTACCGGCTTCTTCACGCGGCATAGTCTGTCTTTTTTTTTTTTTTTAATTTTACACAACCCGCGCGATTAAAGCAAAATGTCTCTTTTCACTCACGTCGGGGTCACCAATTGTAGGGTTGTTGAATAACTAAACACTCGCAACAATAACGGTATTTATTTAAGTCTTATTACGCGTCACGTCTCTTTGCGCGTCAGTCTTCTCTTGTTCTAGTGGCGCCGTCGAGTCGTGTCGCCAACCTGTGCGCACAACTCTGTCTCGGCCTAGAAAAGTCCCTAGGCTGCCGCCACAAATCTATCATCTCATTGGTGAAAGATTTACCAATCAGGTAGTGAGGCCGACTCCCACGATTTGCGAAAGTCGAGAAACTCTTGAAGGAATCAGTCTTCTAGTAGTTCAAACTAAAATTCACGAGGAGAAACATCTTACTCTCCTCAAGGGAAACATTATCTTCCTGCGTATAATAGTAGTCAAATACTTGTCGATCACGTTGTGACGGGTACGCGAGCCCGACCCCCACCATACCACCAGCGAGGCGCAGCACAGCGCCGCGACTGCGAGAGGGCCGCGAGCCGCCTGGCGGAATATAAGGCGGCCCGCGAGGCCTAGAGAGCGAGTCGGCTCTGTACCGAGATAGCGAATCGTAGCGAACACGCACCGTTGCAACCGCCGATACGAACGAGCCAAGCACAACTCCTTTTTGTATTCCTGCTTCCTCCACGGCTCCGGGACGGTTTGGTGAAATCCGGCCGCCCCGCCGAACGGCCGATAACCTACGCACGCGGAAGGCCTGTCTGACCTTCCAGCATCTTTGGCAACCCCTGACCTTCGTTCTGCCCTGGCGGAAGCGACCAGCAGACGGGACAAAGGTCCTCTGGCCAGGCCCGAGAGACGGCGTTCGCCAACTGACCAAGGGAACCATTGCTACGGCCACTACCGCTCCTACGACCCCTCATCCCGTCTACCCCACTGCGAAACGTTGTTCACGCGATCGCATCTAGACATTAAGACTCGCGCCGCGAACCGTAGCTATAAGATCCGCGACTATACTAGTAAGACCCGCGCCGTTAACCGTAGATTTAAGCCGCGTTTAATAGATGTAAGACCCGCGTCCGAACCGCGTAGAATTAAGACCGCGCCCCGACACCGCGACCAGCCACAGTCTAAGAACTTAAGATTTCCGCCGCATCACCTGTAAATCGTTAGTAAGTAAGGTAATTTAAGAATAAACACGTTTCAACCCATATCCAACCGAGTACTCATTCAGCGAAGAACCTTGAACATCCGTCTGAGCCGCCCTTCCTCCCGGTCCACCGCAGGACCGTCACAACGTCAATCTATTTTTTACCATCAATAGTCTTTTTTTCGCAATTAAATAATTCAGTTTTACCTTATATATGTCTACATTCTTGAACTTTTAACCAAAACACATCCTCTCCTATCATCTTAAACGGTCGTAGGGACGTAGGTGTTTAAAGTTATCGGTGTGACATCGAATAGAGATTTACGACCTCTGTTGACTCGGCTCTCAACGCATCCTATGGCCGTAGCTTTGCGCGTACTTTACGTAAAAACAGGTGTTTATGGTAGCGGCTGTCCAATATTTCCGAAAGCATGCATTCTTCGTAGATACGCGTTAGGAAAGGTTCCATATGATTTGTCTAAAACGCGTCGTCCCTATTTACGCGGATCATATGTACCTCTGTTGCGTTATATGCAACTAACCTTGTACTTGGTAGAAATGCTGGGGCTTTCTATTCATTTGTGTAGGCGTTTAGTGGAAGGGGAAGGCGGTGAGTCTCCCTGGACGTCCTTAGCTCAGCGACCGCTAGGTGGCAGCGGGATTTGGGTTTGTTCTCGCTGGCAGTCCCCCGGCATGCGATTCAGATATATACGAGTTCCGAAAAGCGGAGTTATAGGCGTCTGAGGTCGGATCGCCTGTCGTCAGCCGACGAATCAGACACTGACGAGTCTGGCAGACGATCCCGAGACGAAAATGCCTTGTTCCGTTTCTACATTTGTTCTATATCTTTCTTATCGAAGATGTTCCGTAAGTGACGTATTGTTTCTATTGCGTTGATCGCTGTCAAATTCTCAACAGATAGTGGGCATTTCAATTCCAATAAACCGTCATCGTCGATAAGTCCATCAAGGGAGCACTCAAAAATGGAATGTCGTGATCAATAAACAATCTACAAGTTCGAATCCTTGTTTTCATTGCGTGTTCTTTTTTTCAATGTGTTCTTTGTCGCGGCTGTGTTTCATAGCAGCAGTATCAACAGATGGAGGATATAAAATGCTTTTTACTATTACTGCACAGGACATTGTTTGTCTCATGCGACACACTGCTCCAAAATTCGAAGCAGTTAGTGTTCCGTCGAAACGGTTCATATCGGCGCCGTGTCGCCAGCGCTCGGTACAGCAAGAGGAAAAAGAAGACTCGCGACAACGCAAAAACGAAAACGTTCAGTTCTATCGTGTGTCTCGCGCAAATAACATCGTCAGTTCTATCGTGCGTCTCGCGCAAGCAGCATCGGTCTTTCGTAGTTTTTCTCGAACAGTTCGGGACGCGTAAGAATCACGCGTACGTTCTACGTCAAACACGCCTTACAATGACAGTCGTTTAACGAATCAGGCGGCAGCTCGTCACACAGCGGTCCTGTCTCTTCTTGAGCCGATCCCTAGGAATCCGAGCCCTGCTCCTCTCGAATTTGAATGCGATCGTGTCTCTTCTTGAGCTGATCCCTAGGAGTCGGAGCCGTGCTCCTCCTGAATTAATTCGCGCAGTCGTGCCGCAGCCGATTCGCCAGCGTCGAGATCGTGTCTCCTATCAACGTTACTCGAGGGTCGACCCACACATGTACACACGCACACGCATACATTTGACGTGGCAAAGCCCACGTCTACCTTGTATTTCCTAAATTTCGAGAAGTTTTTTTACCTTCGGGTTTTTCCTCTCTGAGCCAATAAATTTTTCTCGTTGTTGGCTCAATTGATCGTGTCTTTATTTTGTTGATCCCTACCCTCTATTCTATTCTATCAGTTCAAATTTATTTAACTTGTAACGGGGTGGTCGGGTCGGTGCGCACGACGGTGCGCACCGCGGTCGGTTCCCCGTACCAGAGTTCGCTGGGTAAACAGGTTCGGTAAATAACGAGGCCGGTTTATATGGAAAAAGAGTTATTTATTCAGAAAAATATTAGCTATATGTCGGTAGTATGTACAGTTGCGAGGGCCGGCTATTCCCGCCGGGATGTTCTGGCAGCCATCTCCTGCCTCAGGTGCTATAACATAACATCGCCAGGAGATTAGACGATGCGTGGAGCTGTTTCGTACTTAACCTTACTTACAGGACTTACTTGCTACGGTCAGAACCCGGTCCGTCATAGAAAATCTCCGCGGGACTTAGAATCTAACTGGTCTTACAATCTAACGCGGTTCTTATATTTCGCAACCACCTTACAAACTAAACGAGCGCGGGTATACGTGTGCGTGCGAAGCGGAACGCGAACGCAAAAGAACGACTAGCGAAAGCGTGTCGTGATACCGGACGCAAGAATCGGGAGATCAAGAAGGATTGACCCGATTGGGCCGACGGTGTTTTATTAAAAACGTCGCGCTTCGGTGGAGTTGCTGCCCGCTTGCCTTGTGCGGCTATCTTCTCGTTCGCCGAGGTAGAACCGAACAGCGGATGAGATAACGAGCAATCCTAGCCAGCCTGGGTAGCGCCACGAAGCTGGACGGGACCAGTTGCCAAAGACCGGATGCGGTGCCGTGTAGGCTAGCGTTCGGAATCCTGCGGTAGCATCGGCAGAGATTATGAACACGCACTAGCTTGGTCACCCTGGGTCGAAACCACGGAGATGATGGACGAGGCTAGGCGCCTACGGCTGCTAGACCTATGGGGAACTGCCAGGTCGTGATGTAGTGCAATGCCACGGTCCGACGGCCGGAGATCTCTTCGCCAGGTCAACCATGGCGTCGAGCCTCTTAGGAGGTCCTCTTGGGTTCGAAGCCCCGAGGCAACTCATCGATCGTCGCATCGATCGGTCCTACTTATAGTCTAGCTCACGGGAATGGAGATGCCGCCGCGGTGGGGGCGCGGCGATCCGCGGCTGTCGTCGCAAATTCGAATTCAACCGGATTCTAAGAAAACGAAATTTTTCCATGTTGAAAAGCTTTCGACACTACAGTTAGCATTTCCTCCATAAATCTGAATCGTTTTGGTCTCTTGTGTTCATTTCTATTGTACGATTTTTTGCGTTGTCAGTAAGCTTTTCAAAATGTTCCTTGCGAAGCTGAAGAAGTATATCACTCGGAAGATCTAGTCTTTGCGAATTTGAACTATAATATTTATCCGTTTCTTACACTAGCTTAAATTTTCTTCTCTTGCCATAGGTCATTCGGAATTCTTTCGTTTTCGCAACCTTTTTCTCCCGCCATTCCTCCATTCTCTTTACCAGTGGTGGAACGGTTTAGCACATGTTCTTATGCATGTGTTGTATTGTGTAACAGCCTCTGCAACTCTAGCATTGTAGGAACCTCTTGCACCAAAATTAATAAGTTTTCCACCAATCTCTTTGCAGATAATTGAATTGAATGTGTCTGCGGGATTGTTTGTGACATTAATTAACAAACTATCCGAATAGCAACTGAGGAATCGTATGGCTTCCTCGACTTTGTTATACGGACCATATAATTTCAAAGATGGAATGTAATTTTTTTCAGCTCTGTTTTCGTCTCACACACACGTATGGCTGCGGCTATTGCATTTCGTATGTTCACTAAATATATAGCTAGGAATACTTAAAATGTTGTTCTGAAGTTTTCTAGCTTTGATATGCTGAGGCCCTTTTTCTTGTTTTCGCGCATTGACTACTAAAACGACAGCTCTACGAATATTTAAAATATTTTATTTAAGTATATTTCGATGCGCAACAAACCCACGATCTCTGTGACCCTTTGTTTGCGTTTTCTCCGCAACGAGTCTCAACCTTTTACATAAATTACGAAGTAAGTGATTGGTACACTCAATTTTTTAACGGTTACTGTTTGTTCTCGGTAAGGCCTGATATTCACAATAGTATGATAGACGTTGCTATCACCATCGGCAACAACCGTATTATGTATCAAGCCATGCATTTCAATGCTGCATTTAAAACCTTCAGCAATAGTATCACTTTCCATGCTACTAAAACTGGGTAAATATTCGGAAGTGTAACTCCTGTCAGAATCGAGTTGATTTTTTTTTGTGTGGTTTCTAACAGTTTAAAAACATCATATTTAATGTTATTATGGCGGCGCATCAACAAAAACAATGTCAAAAAATATTTTTAAAATATTTTTTTCAAGATTTTTATTCGTCAATCTTTCGAATTTTCTTTCAAGGTTTCTACATGAAATATTCTGTTCTTTCAAAATCCAATAGACATACAAACTATTTTGACAATTCTTCATTATAAAATTGCTGAATAGTATCGAAGATGGCATGTACGCGTTCATTGTGCGCGGTGAAAACTCGACGAAATAGAAAATATTCGGTTGAACAGTAACATATTAAATTCGTTTTGCTGACTGGGGGGCTGCGCCCCCCAGACTCCCCCTGGTAACTACACTAACTAATACCAATAAATATGTTATTTTATAAATTGTGTTTATTTCCTTATATTAAAAATGGGTATCGGTATTAGTTTAGTATATATGGGGGTCTGGGGGGCAGAGCCCCCCAGTCAGCAAAACGAATTTAATATTTAATATTTAAGATTCGTTAGATGTAGGTAAAATGTAAACATGCAAATACAATGTGCGAATAGGTCACCAATATATTGTATACACCAAATACACACAATTTCGAAAATATTCAGTTTATATTTCACAATGGAGTGTACTGGTTGTACAATAAGTCTTGTAGACGCGTGCACTTTATTTAAAAATTGTACCGATAGTATCGAATTTTTGCGGAGACACGGAATACTTTCACGCGAAACAAAATGTTCGCAGTGTGGAGAGAGTGCTGCATTAAATGGAAAAACCTTGCAGTGGCGATGCCAACGGGTTAAAAGAGTGAAAAAGAACAAAAAAATAATAAGTAAAAAATGTAATTTCACACAATCTATAAAAACAGACACTTGGCTACACAATTCACATTTATCTCCTGACAAGTGTTGCTTGTTTGTGTCCCTATATATAATTCTGAATCCGCCGCATCAAACATTTCTGATGGAAGAATTGAAAATGAATTCGGAAACAATATGTAACTGGAGCAGCTACATTCGAGAGGCGTTAGAACACTGGCTGTTATTCAATTCTTCCGACCAACTGGGTGGTCCTGGGAAAATCGTTGAGATCGACGAAGCGAAATTCGGGAAACGAAAACATAATCGCGGAAGAATTATTGAAGGGCAGTGGATTTTTGGTGGATTCGAACGTGAATCCAAACAAGTATTCATGGAAAAGGTCGATGATCGAACATCAGCGACATTATTAGAAATTATAAAACGTCGTATTAAACCGGGAACGACAATCATGTCTGATTGTTGGAAGGCCTACAATTGTTTTAACGAAGAAGGTAGATTGCAAAATTATCATACTTTTTTATGCTTTTATATTTGCTACTAATTTATGTGATTTATGCCAGGATTTCAACATCTAACGGTGAATTACTCATTAAATTTCGTCGATCCAGATTCGGGAGCATAAACACAAAATTCGGACGACGTGATTACCACATGGCTGGTTATATTGCCGATTTTCTATTTCGTCGAGTTTTCACCGCGCACAGTGAACGCGTACATGCCATCTTCGATGCTATTCATCAATTTTATAATGAAGAATTGTCAAAATAGTTTGTATGTCTATTGGATTTTGAAAGAACAGAATATTTCATGTAGAAACCTTGAAAGAAAGTTCGAAAGATTGACGAATAAAAATCTTGAAAAAAATATTTTAAAAATATTTTTTGACATTGTTTTTGTTGATGCGCCGCCATAATAACATTAAATATGATGTTTTTAAACTGTAAGAAACCACACAAAAAAAAATCAGCTCGATTCTGACAGGAGTTACACTTCCGAATATTTACCTACAACTGGCATAGTTCTTATAACATTTATGATGTTTTGGGGATGTAGCATTTCGTTCCGCTATATCACATATTGTGCAGTACTTATTGCGTATGCCGATAAACAGAACTTTTTCTGTGCGGAAACCGACACCGGAAAGTGAATTATAATTCGTTCCATACGATCTCTTCATCCAGCTACCATCCGCTATGACAATTATGTATGGGATACCGTCGACGGCTTTATTGTTTTCAAAAGCTAATCGTCTTTCTTCTTCACGTGTTGCCTGCATGGTATGCATTGCACTTTTTATGAACTCATCTACAAGTTTTCCACGGTACCCCTAGTACGTCGTTTCAGCCATGCAGGGCATGTTCAGGGCGGCGCATAATTCTTCTAATTGTGCATAGCCGATTCCGACTGTAACAGTCCCAGTCGTCATGACCTTATTTACATTCATTGTATCTGAACGCATAGGTTCCGACCAAACAGTAGCTTCGTAGTTACACATTTGGCAATTGAAACAAAACTGTGTGAGACACCCACTCTGGCGATTACCGATCATTTTCCAATCGCGAAAATGACATTCAATACCTCGTGCATGATTGTCGAACATTCTATGTATTTCATTCCAAAAGAACTGAACGTCAACAATGCGGCGGCCATCTGGCACATTATCCGAAATATGTCCCATATCTACGCGTCCGCCGTCAATGACTAGATTGTCGTCGCTATCGTCCAGGACGTTTTGTACAGTGGGTCTCACATTTGTAGATTCGCATTGTACACAACAGTTTCGTCGTTTTCGCGAAGGACGTTTTCTAAGATGCGCCCCACATCTATTTTTTCAGAAACGACGTTTTCTGAGATGCACCCCACATCTTTATTTTCGCGAAAGACGTTTTGTGAGATGCACCCCACATCTTTATTTTCGCGAAGGACGTTTTGTGACATGTGCTCCACATCTTTATTTTTGGAAAGGACGTTTTCTGAGATGCACCCCACGTCTTTAGGATAATTTGGGAGAATTGAAAGATCTTTATTATAATATTTGGTGGTACAAACTAGTTGGTGGTCAGACATATCTTTTTTTGGTATAAGTTTTCCCGGAAGAGGATTTCTCTCTTTGGAAACTGCAGTAGGTTGAATTGTCGATGTCGACAACTGCCATTTTTCCTGTCGCCTGCAAAGTAGAATGAATGAGGTTAGAAATATTTGTAGGACAATTTACACAAGTTACAGAAATGTATAAATTGTAAGCATGTACAGTTTTCTATAAGCTCTTTTGAGGGAGAGTCTTCTTGTTCCCAGCAACCTGTGACGATTGCTACTTTTTTTATTTCCCATTTGTGCTTACTTTTTGCACAAATGGTTGGAAATATTGATAATAATTTAGTTTTATACTGAATGTATGTTTCAATATGTCTTCTACGTTATCGCGAAGACGTCATAGAAAGAAGTATATGGCAACGCGGGCCATTCGCCCTACCACCCTACGCATGTGTGAAACAAAAACGAAACGCTAGCGCTGTGGCGTTTACCAATTTCACTGGAAGCGACAGTACAGCACTGTAACGTCCCGCTAAGAAGACCCAGCACTTTTTCGATTCACTTTTTTTATTATTATAATTTATTTTTAGTTCAAATTTTGTACAAAATGGTTAATTTAATTTTTTTTATATTTAGTTAAGTTTATAAAAAAAAAGGTATTTAGTTTAATTTGTATTATATTATATTTCTTATGATAAATAATTTTCATTAATCGATAATATAGTCTAATTGAATAAGTCGATAAGCGTTTAGTCGGTAAGTCGGTCGGTAAGTCGATTATCGATAAATAATCGACAAACAAATGCATACGCGCCAGCGCAACCCCGATGATCTCGCGGTGGGGTGAGATCCTAGAGTAGGGTGATCGCGTAGATTAAGGAGCAGGGGTGCTCGGCCGTCACGTGATGGGGAATTCCAGAAATCTAGAGGAACGCTATAATAAAAAAAAAACGCTAAGTCAGCAGAATCTGACTATAAATAGAGGCGTTCCACGCAGTCAGATGAGATCTTCCCTGACTTCGGTCAGATGCAGACAGCACTCTGGAAGTAGAGGAAAGCTTGCGCTGAATTGCTTAGGCAGCTATAGAGCGCGAGATTAGCTTTGTCCTTCTCTTTCAGTGGTGACGTACGAGAGTTCGGATCTGTGGACACCCTACTCAAGGTACGCAACGTGGTGAACACGTGCTAATACTGAGACACATACTCAAGTGTAAAGAGCTAGCGAGGAGCGGAGCTCCTTGAGCAGGCCTGTATTAGCATAGCTCTGGCTAGACCAGAAACCGATTGCGACCTGTAGGTAAAGTCCGCTCGTGTCTGAAGGTATCGTACAAGCCACTGGAATATAGTTTTCCAGTACTTAGTGTAATTTGGCAAATTGTACAGAGTGTTGGCTGTATTCGAAGATTAAGTCGCGTTATTATTACTTACTAACTACTGATCATATATTTTCCACTGTATTTCACTATCTAGGGCGTACCTATTATAATTTCTTATTGTATTTCATATTCTAGCCGCATCTATTGTTATACTCAAAACAATCATAGTTAGTTTACTTACTTGAATAAAAGATAATTTCAGTTTGATACGTTAATGTTGGATTTCACTCCTTAACCGCACACCACACGAACCTATAATCCCAAATTTCGTTCATACGAGTCGCCTTCTTGGGGAACCGCTCTTCCTATACGTCGGTGCAGTGACGTACCTATCATTGGGTCGTTACAAACCGGTAAACATCGAAAGAAAAATGGATTTAAGAAGCTGCAGTAAGTGTTTCATGAACCTTTCTTTTCATCTTTATTTCGTGAGTGTCATTGACAATTACATTCCGTAAGCATTTGTCATAAAAATATTTTTTTCGACATTTGTTTTGTTTCATGTATATTTATGCGATAACTTGTGCAGAGAAAATTTTTGTCTTCTGGATCATTTTTCCATGATACATTGACACAATACGTTTTTTTGTCAACTGGTTTATTCGTATTTTGTAATTCAATACAGTTTAATACATGTAATTGTCAATGAATATTCGTAAATTGCTGGAGAAATACATTTAAAATTTTTCTGCAATATTATCCATGTTTTTCAATTTTTGTTTAGAAGTTAAAAGGGCGAAATCGTTGGGGGCGGTGGTAAATTCACAAGCGCAGCAAGAGCTGCAACAGCAACCCCAGCCGCAGCTACAGCTGCAATAAAAACCGTTGTGTCAGCAGCAACATTCCCAGCCGCTGCCGTTGTTGCAACTACAGATGCTGCAACAGCAACCACTGCAATAGCAGCAGCGGCAGCAGCAGCAACACTATCAGCCGTACCAGCCGCTGCAGCTGCAAATGCTACAGCAACATCCGCAACATGTTGGGTATACCGTAAGTCGTTTTTTTATGTCCCTGTTTGTATCTTATTTTTGCTATTCATTGTTTATACACAATACAGTAATACTCGGTTAAATTACACTAAAATTTGCTCGGTTGAATTTTCACGACCCAGCCCCACTCTTCCCCACCACTCAGCGCAGCGTGCTCGACGAAACCTGATCTCAGTAAACAAGGACAAAAAACGAATACAATGAAAAGAAAGAAGACAGACGCACATCAAATGGATGCCGCAACTGGAGAAAGTAAACATGGAGTAAAAAATATTTTACTTGCAGTCATTTTCGTCTTACCTTTATAATTGTTGCACCGATGGATAGCTGACATTCTTCCGATTAAAATGAGTCCAAACACGATATAATTTGAACCATATTTACTCTACATGATTCATTATGATATACATTATGATTTACTCTATTTGATTCATTATGTGTTTATTAAATAACGTAAATATGATTCAAATTGTGGGATATAAACAAAGATGTGGAAGGCCGAGGTGAAATTTGAAAATGAGGTCGCATCGCAGGACCTACGCCGTAACTAAATCTTGCAGCGATAAGGAATGGCTTTGGAAAGGGGAGCATAAAGGGAACGAAGTGGGAAGATCGGCCACGCCGGGCAAATTGAATTGTAACGCTAACGTGAAAGAAACCCGCAGCTTTGTATTATGTTTTGAATAAAGTGAAGCGAAACTTAAGTGTAAAGAAATCTACAAAATTATGTCGTGTTTGGACTCATTTTAATTAGAACGATCTCAATAACTCAATGGTATAATTTTCATAAAAATAAGTTGAAAATTACTGATAGTGAAATTCTCGTTATTGCATGTTTACTTCTTTCGCTGGCTGCATCCCTTTGAAGTACCTCGACCGTCGCTGTTAGACGTAGTATGTCTATCTCGCTTCCTCCTATCGTATCTATTCTCTTACTCTGTCAAATTCTGGTCGAGTCAATTCTCGGAATACAAACGCTACCCTGCTCGCGAGAATTTCAATGCTGACTCCCGAACGTAGTGAAATTCAACCAAGCATTACTGTAACAGTATTTATTTTTCCAGACGTACAGGTCCATGAAGCGGCGGCTGCTGCGGTTCTACCGTAACAATCACTACGCGGGGGAATTCGCAAGGAGGATCGTCAAGGGAAGGGAAATCTCAGGGTGGAGGGTGTGTAGGAAGGTTCGTGTGCGTTACGCGATTGAGGGAAATGGTTCAAGGGAATCTTTAAGGGGAGGAACGGGTTATCGCGGGCGCAACTCGCGGAATTACAATGCGCGGACGCGGAAATTGCCGTTACCGGACGCAGATCTACAATTTTTAGTAATCGGAAGGACTCACCAATCGCCGTGCACGTTCCACACACACAACTCGCACGCTATTCTACAAACCACCTCGCAAATCTCTGTGATACTTTCTACTCTCAAAATCGCTCTCGGTACTTTCGCTATCTAAATGCTTTCGTCGCTCAATGCTAATTGCTGGCTCCTCGTCGCAGCAGCGGCGACGAGCCCGTTACAAGGAATTTTTGGGGAGGGGATGAGGTTAAATTGGGACATCTTCCGGGTCGAGGATTGATCTGTTATCGATCGGCCGGTAATCGGAATCGATGGGGCTGACGGAGACTCGACGGTGGTGGCTGCGGGCTGTGGTTTTCGGGTTCGGCGACAGATGGCTCCATTCGACTGCTTTTCTGCCGTTGTTGGGCTGGTGGACCTTTGTCGTAGGAAGATTAGCGTTACGACGTCCTATGGACCGATTTAGAGAGGTATTAGAAAGCGATTTTGAGAGTATAATAAAGAGTTTCAGAGCGGTATAGAGTAGCAACTGTGAAGAGTGTGTGAAATGTGCACGGCAATTGGTGAGTCCTTCCGATTACTAAAAATTGTAGATCTGAGTCCGGTAACGGCAATTTCCGCGTCCGCGCATTGTACTTCATGTTTCTTTATGTTTCTCCATTGTGTTTATGCTATTGTAACGTCCCGGAATTGTTATCACGAGTACGCTACTGCACCTGACGCGTAGGGAGAGCGGTTCCCTATGAGAAGGCGACTCATTTTTATAATGAAGGGATTATAGGTTCGGGTGGCACGCAGTAAAGGAGTAAAATCCAACATTAATTCCTTTCTCAAAAATAATAATGTCTTTATTCAAGAAATGTGTTTGTTTATAATATATATAAAAAAAAGGGTAAGTAATATAAAAGACAATGAATTAAATAATATAATGAGTTAATGTAATCAATGTACAAATGTTGCACCCTGTTTTGAAATACAAAAAGAAAATAATTATATTAATTGAGTACAGTGAATACGCCCTGGATTAGAAAATACAAAGAAAATAACAATCGCGTTTGTGCTAAAATGAAATATAATGAAAGAAAATTCATATTATTAGTTACAAAATAATTCGTCCTAAAATAAAATATAAAGGAAAATAAATTTGCGACGACGGCCGCGGATCGGCGTCGCGCATCGCGGGCCCCCACCGCGGCGGCCTCCCCACTCCCGCGAGCGAGGCTAGTCGGATCGATCAACGCGTGGATCGATGAGTTGCCTCGGGGCCTCGGCCCCGAGCAGACCTCCTAGGAGGTCGGACCGGAGCACCGGCAGGCTCGACGTCGCGGTTTGTCCAGGCGAATAGCTCACCGGCCGTCGGACCGTGACGTACGTCACGGGCTGGCAGCTCCCAACCGGTCCAGCAGCCGTAGGCGCCTAGCTTCGTCAGCCCCGAGGACCTCGGGTCGAGGTTTGTCCCAGGATGACCAAACTAGTGCGCGTCCGTAACATCCGCCGGTTTGACCGCGGGGTTGCGAACGCTAGCTTACACGGCACCGCATCCGGCCTATAGCAATCGATTCCGTCCTGTCCCGAGGCTAGACCCAGGGCGAGCCAGGATTGGTCGTCGACTCGTTCACTGCTAGGTTTGACCACGGTGCACGAGAAGACAGCCGCGTCAGGCAAACAGGCAGCAACTCTACCGCAGCGCGAGACACCGCAGCGCGAACATTGAATAAAGACCGACGGTCCGAAGGGGCCATCCCTTCTCCCGATCTCCAGCGACTTCGCGTCTCACGCGTGCGCCGTAACACCGCGTCTCTCTCGTTCGCGTTCGCGCTCCGCTCAGCGCCTTCACTCCGCGCCGTTAGCCAGTAAGACCGCGTAGCGACAGCTACGAACCGCGCTAGGTTAAGACCGCGTAACTTCTGTAACGGACCTGGTTCCGCCGTAGTTTGTAAGTCATGTACACCTAGACTTAAGCGCGACACGGCTCCATCGCCAGCTCACCGATAGCTTCTTCTGTTGTAGCGAGCCCGGCAGGATATACCGCCACCAACATCGGCATCTCCCGGAGCCGCGCCCGGCGGCCCACCTCTACCACCTTTGTAATCAACTTTCGCTATTTTCTCTCTTTGAATAAATAGTTCTATTTTTATACTAACACCGCCTCGTTATTTCGCGAACCTATTCCCCAGCGAACCTTGGCACGGGGAAACCGACCGCGGTGCGCAACGCCGTGCGCACCGACCAGACCGCCCCGTTACAAATTAATTAGTGAACGCGACTCTAGTTACGATTATCAAAACTCTAAATCTATAATTTGAATTTATAAAATAATATTATTTAAATAAATTGATCGATTGTCGGAAAATTGGCGAGGATCCGTTCCGACACTGTAAGAGCTAACTCGTTCAGCCGCAGTACGATTTCTGGGCAACTTAGCCGTCACTGATAGGCCACATCCAAGGAGCTTCTGCTTTCACTCGCTCGTTAGGCTTGGTTGCGAACCTGACACGTATGAGAACCGCTGCGAACTGGTAGTCGAGCGCTCCGGGTCCGACGCGGAACCCTTGCCTCCTTGCCGATAAAAGAATCTATGCTACTGAATTCTAAGTAATAATCGTACTATAGACCCGTGTCGGACTACGATCAGAATCGAAGTGAAACAGCTCTGCACTGCTGACGTAGCAGTTTTTTCTACACGTACTATTGATACCGGAAGTGTTTGGACTTTGACCCGCGTGTACGTGACTCCGCGCGTAACGCTATCTCTGTCTACGGATAGTCGCTATCTCTTTCTACTCTGCGCTCAGTTGCTGTCTCTTTCTACGCGTTGTTGCTATCTCTATCTATTACGCGCTCTGTGTCGATCTTTTATCGACGCGGTAGTTTTATCGACGCGACAATTATCGATCTAGATTTTTGGAGTAAGTTTTTGTTAAGGGGGTAGACACGGATAATGCAGCGATGTGACATTACCGGCAAATATGGGACTATTAATGGGTTTACGGGAATCGGTTATTTGTCTTTATATGAGAACACTTGGAGCTGGGTGAGGGCTCATTCGAAAGAGGAAGGTCCAATGCAGGGCGACCAACTCATGGTTTAACGAGATTGTGTCCATATTTAATAATATCAGTGTCCAAAGTAGAAGAAAAAATCGACAAAATGCAGTTGCGAAATCGAAGCATTTTTAGGCCACTAAAAGAGTTTTGTGACTCAAACGGCGAGTTTATCGCCATGCATTGAACCTTCCTCTTTCGAATGAGCCCTTATTCAGCTCAAGATCTTCTCATATAAGGACGAATAACCAATTCCCACAGACGAGTTCCGCCATTATCTGGATAATACAGAGCACGTCACGTGACAAATTTAGTTCAGCTAGTAATTATAAGATGGCGTCTAAGTAGAAAGGCTGCCGAGTTGGAATCGTAGACAGAATCAAGCGTTAGCTTGATTACGTCACTCGAACTGTGCTGCGAAGGCAAGCGAAAAAGGCAACATCGCCCGAACGCTGAGTGAGACGCACTACAGTCATGCTATCCTTCTCTCATTCTCAATGTTGAGATTGTCCCTTTTCGCTAAGTTTTCGCTGCGGCCCGCCTGGATTTTCCACAGCGCCCCATAACCTCGTCCCATTCAAACTATATCGCGTTTGGTATCATTTTAATCAGAAAAATTTCACCAATGCGCTAGTAAAAGTTTCAGTAAAAAAAAAGTCAAAAATAAAAAAGTTTTATAATTGAATTAGTATTAGTCACACCGATACGTTTCGGCTCTTTCCTTTGATCATTAGACCTCTCTCTCTCTCCTTCACTGTCTGTCCCTTTCTACGTTCCTGCTTGGCTGGTCGTCGCATCCAATTCGAGATTCGACATCTCGGCTGGATACATGCAACGTCTGGTTCCCACTCTCTGTTGCATATATTCAGCTTTTACTGTATATGTAGACGCGAGGTCCCTCCATTTATTAGTTCTAATAGTACTATAGTACTTTTTTATGCAGAATGTTTCAAGGAGTTGACACAAGTAAAAAAAAAATGCAATTCCATTTAAATAAAAAGTGGATTTGCATTTTTGAGTGCATCGTTGCATTCACGGAGAAGATGAAATCACAGAAAAATAGACATTATCATACCATTGAACTTTTACATAAACAGCTTTTTCCTATCTCTTACCAAATTCAAGATATAACCCGTCAGAAATTGAATGACGTATCCTATATATTTTTATTAATTAAAAAACATTTATTTAAAGAAGTTAATAACTTTTTCTAAAAAATTTCTCAGATTGCACGTTCCTTCAGTTCTTCAGAGTAAGCATATATTTTTCAGCAGCGAGGGGTGCTACGGTGCGCTATATAAAATCCACGCGTTCAGTCAGTCAGAATTTATCGGAGCGGAACAATTCTATCATTTAGGTTGAAAGAAGGATAGCACGATCACCGTACATCTCACTCTAATCACGCGCCAATGTTTCGCTTTCGTTCTTCAGGCGTATCGTCGCGATGCCTCTGGCGAGATGAGCGTTTGAATGTGTTTGTAAAAATACTTGAGGCGCTGTTACCTTCCTAGATCGTGTTGCGCGCACGCTAGCTGAGAATTAAACCTTTCAAGTTCATACTAGACCACGCAAGTGGCTCCACTAGGCCCAACGAAAAAACTGCTGTAATACCGACGTCCCGAATCGGAGAGGTCACGTGCTGTGTCTACCCCCTTAATATGGATTAACGAGGGGAACTACCCAAGTGTTACGCTCACTTATTAATGAAACTTTGCCACCTTGTAGAGCTCGTCGCCCTGAACACGCCTATACCCCCTTTTGGGGGCAGACGGCTAATTGTTTAAAAGATATTAACAATTAAAGTTAGTTACTGCTTACATTGAGAAGCATGACAAACTAACACATATAAATGCTTAGCTCCGCGGTAAAACGCTTGACTCACAATCTAACTGTCCACGGTTCAAGTCCATGGTTCCGAACTTTTTTTTTTCTTTCTTTTTAATGATAATTTGTCTCTTTTTGAATAACTATTACAACTGTGCTATAATCATTGCATTTATTAATAGGTAATTAATTACATGTGCTGAAATTTTTATAGAATTTAAAAGTTATCTTTTCTATCCAATACGTACATTAACACCCTTACCGCATTCAAAATTTACTAGCGTTTATTTGTTATTATACACACACAATTAATTTCCATAAAATACGAATATAATTTCTGTCCTATTGTTTTGGATTCTTCACTAATGTCTTCTGCGTCTTCTTCTAATGTTGTAAATATAAATTATAAATTTGCACAGTAGTATAAATGAATGTAACTAAATAAATATAATTAAATAAATTGAACTTGTAAAAACAAATAATAACAAATAAACGCTAGTAAATTTTGAATGCGGTAAGGGTGTTAATGTACGTATTGGATAGAAAAACTAACTTAAATTTTATAAAAATTTCAGCACATGTAATTAATGACCTATTAATAAATGCAATGATTATAGCACAGTTGTAATAGTTATTCAAAAAGAGACAGATTATCATTAAAAAGAAAGAAGAAAAAAGAAAAAAAAGTTGGGGGGAAAAAGGGGGGGTTAGATTGCGAGTCTAGCGTTTTACCGCGGAGCTAAGCATTTATATGTGTTAATTTGTCATGCTTCTCAATGTAAGGAGTAACTAACTTTAATTGTTAATATCTTTTAAACAATTAGCTGTCTGCCCCCAAAAGGGGGTATAGGCGTGTTCAGGGCGACAAGCTCTACAAGGTGGCAAAGTTTCATTAATAAGTGAGTGTAACACTTGGGTAGTCGTAAGTCTCCATACACCTGTAGGGGCCTTCGCAGAAATGCGGTAAATTATGGCTCCTACTGTACCAACAGAGGATACTTGGTCTTATAGAAGAATAAAGTTTTTACGCAGGTTGATTGTTCACAAAACTAAATACTAGCCTTTTATTTAAAATCAGACAGATCAAAGATTAAACTTTTGGTTAATATTCACAGGCGTTTTTACTTATAACACTAAGTTTCACAACCCAATCTTTGGAAAACGTTACTTCTATACTCCATGAGTGCGAGGGCAAGAGTGAGCCACGCCAAGCGTTAGCGTGGGAGGGGAAACGCATTTTCCCGCTTTCTACAATTAAAGAGAGCGCTGCGGTAGCCGGAAATGCACTTTCCGGCAGGATGGCTCACCGGAAGTAGGCGCCGCTACACGCCCTCGATCCTCGCGCCATCTAGCGGTTCTAGAAAGAAGCAAACCTTCCAACCGCGCCCTCTTTTCTAGGGTGCTCGGGGCCTGACGCCCTCGCTTCAACGCACCCCCATTTTCCCTACACTCTGTTCTTTTCCGGCTACGCGATCGGAAGTAAAAGGCACGCGTCCTTCCTACTTCCATCGCCATCTTTAATACCGCGAGTCTTTGTTCAATAAGTGTACTATTACAACATAATCGTTACAATCTTGTGTTTTATTTATTCATTGACATAAGTGTGGTGCCCGCGCAATCACACTCGCGTGGCTCCTAAATATATACAAATTATGATTATCGATATCCTCGATATCCGCAAAGTCCAACTCCATTTTGTACTTTTTTAAAAATAATTTACCACAATTAATCAAAATAAATTGTTCAACACTGTACAATAACACCTTCAAACGCGTGCTTAAGTCCTCAATATCGTCGACTTAAAAACATAACCTCAATGAAGCCAAATAAGAACTCGTTATCTACAAATAAGGCAGATTTATTCGACTATGAGCTTGTTGCTTATTCGGCGACTGTGAATCTAACCGATGTCTTAAGCATATGCTTAAGACCAGCTTAAAAATAAGTTGCGACTGTGAATACCGGCCATAAATTAATTTTTGTTTATATTTTTCAATTTCATAAAATGGATAATGGCATCGTCGCCATATTACATTTCATTCAACACTTGCACAGCCGACTCTAGTACTAGCCATGCTGAACAACGTGGCAACACCGCTCACGTGACAATCGGGGGTCCTATTTTCAAAAACAGAGTCCTGTGCTCGGAATTGTAATTAACGTCCTTTTTAATTAAAAGCTGTAGTAATATACACTATTTTGTGTTAATTATGTATAAACAATATATAAACGTTGCAACTATGGCAAATAGAAGTGATGTGGTAGTATAAAATTGTTATAAATGTGATATATATTTTGTGTACTCTCACAGTAGTTTGGTGTTGTGAAGCATGATATTTGAAATATTTACAGTGGTTTCAAGAAAATTTAGGTATGAAGCAAAATGAAACCATCTTTGGATCAAATTGAAACATTTAAGAATTGATAAACGTGTATATAAGTTAATAAAAACCTTGAAACAAGCGAAATGATTGGATCGAAACCAAAGAGGTTATGTGAAGTCCAGAGAGTGTCGGGAGTCTGACGACGTTGATTGGCTGAGAGTCTGGGAGTCCGGGAGGCAGATAGAGTAGGGTAGGTGTTGATATATTCAGACCGGACTCTCGCGGTGTTGCCATTTTTACTTCAGCACGGCTAGTACTAGAGTCGGCTGTGACACTTGCGATTACAAGCTTGCAGCTAAATTCACACGATATTGCACACATGCATACAGGCGAGGTTCGCAACACTATACTGTGCAATGCCAGCTTAGAAATAAGTTGGGACTGTAAGTACGGGCCATAAATTAATTTTTGTTTATTTGTTTATATTTTTCAATTTCATAAAATGGATAATGTTGAAAAAGTCATCGAGCTTCTACATAAGAGAAAAACCATCCGTGAAGTCCATTTCACAAATACAGAAAGACAACAAGTTGCAAAATATAATAATGTAATGGAAAGTCTACAGACTCTAAAAGGTTTACAATTTTACAATGTAACATTGTATTATTTGACTTTAAACTATATATTTGTTAATAAAATTTGTTATAGATAATAGAAATGATTGTAAAGAAAATATTAGTAAGAATCTTCTACATCTGACAACACATAAACATTCAGTATATAAACTTATTTATAATTCAGAAAATAGTGCAGGATTGCCAGTTTCTCATGACCATCATCGGTATGATAAATTCTAAAGAATATTTTTTCATACTGCAAAACATGTCTTAAAAACATGTTCTTTTAGGCAAATAATAATGCTTTTATCTGAAGGAATTGATTTTATAAATAAGTTGCAGAACATTTATAAGAATTTGGATAATGAAAATAAAGAAAATAATGCAAATTCTGCAAATCTTACTCATGATATTGTACGTTTATTTTTTGTTAATTGGGTCATAAAACAATATTTAAAATATTTATCAATGTTTTGTATATTTTTTTCCAGACATCTTGTACACGTTCTGTAGAAAGAGAGCTTTATAAAATAAAGTTACTAATTGCTGAAATACAAATATTACAGAATAATGCGGATTTATTGAATAAGTTAAAACAAGAAAATTGTTTAAATGCTAGTGGTAAGTTTAATTTTATAGTAAAAATCATTTCAAATTTTTTAAGTAAACAAAAAATAAATATAATAAAAGATTAAAGGAAATTATCTTTTTAAAATTTTAAATACATCATTTCTGAATAATATAATAATCTTATGAATAAGGTAATCATTTTTATTTCTAGATGAAGGTATGGAAATTTAAAGAGTGCTAAGTAGAACTTTAATAACAAAATTACATTTTGTTATTACAGTATTAAAAATTAATATTTTTTAATCAGAACCTTTTCTATTTGTATTTACTTGCTATTAACATAGAAAATTATTAATCATCAAACATTTGTGTGTAATTATTAATGGAGTCAATCTCATCATTGATATTTAATGTTAACATAGTTAAGTTTGGATCTATATTCTGTAATAAACATATGTTGAATAAATGTTATTTGTACAAAATTTTTTAGGACATTAAAACACTTTAATCTTTCACCATTATTTCTGAAGTAATTTGAAACTGTGACTGCACATCTGAGAACGATAATACCTCATTTTGAAAATAATACAGGGCATCTGTATCTCTTTCCGATTTCCCCTGCTCGAAGGCCAATGATACCAGTCTATCTCTGAAATGCCCATGTTTAATTTTTAAATATTTTCTTTTAAAAACATATACTTACTTCGCTACGTTGTATTTCTCGGTAGCAGTTTCTTTTTCTCTTTCCATTAATTCTTCAAATTGAATTTGTAACTGGTTAAATTTTTCCTTATTTTGGTTTTCTAAATATCTCGCTTCTTCCAAAGCTTTTAATCCTTCATTTTTTTTAGTTAAAACTAACTATAAAATTGCAAAATAATAATTGTTTAACATTTTAATGTATCAATGCTATTATTATGATACAATTTTTATAATAAATATTACCTGTGTTAGATTTTGTAGTTCTTTAGCACGTAAAATAAGTTGATTTTCTTTATCTTGTAAAAATTGTTTACCGATATTAAATTCATTAATTTTTTTTTGCCATTTTAATTTTTCTTTGTTAGCATAAATAGTTGCTTCTTGTGCAGTTTTAATAGCAGCTTCTAACTATATGATTATAACAATATAAATCAATTTATGTTTTTATTAAATAACTATTCATAAATTTTTATTACTTAGTTGATATAACTTACATTACCTCTATTTTGGCAAATTTATGATTGCTACTTTTGAGCTTACTTAATACTTCTAATTGTGCTTTTTTTGTTGCAACTATTTCTTTTTCTTGTGCGAGTAATTGCAGTTGTTTCTCTTGTTCCTTCACCCAAGTTTCTTTTAATGTCTATAATCATTAAACAGGGTAAGTTGGAAATTGTAATACAGCTCAATAATTATTTATACTTACTAACGGTAATAAATACTTTCATGAAAATAATAAATAAATTAAATATGAGGTACTAATGATTATAATATAAAATAATTTAATATACCTGTAAATAATTTTCTTCCCACTTTACTCTTTCTCCAAATAATTCTCTTTCATGTAAAAGACTAGCTGATTTTTTGTTAAACATTTCTTGTAGTTGAGTACTTAACATGTTTTGTTTTTGAAGTTCAGTTATAAATTGTACAATGCGTGTGCTGAACTGCTCTGTTGTTTCAATAAATTTATTAAGGTATTCTTGCAAAATATCATTTTGATTTTTTAACTCAAGCTTTTGAGCTATAAGTATTACATAAAATTTAATTAAAAAATTAGTTCAGTGTTGTAACAGAAAATATAATAAAAATGATCATTATTTTTTTAATTATTACAAGTTTATCCAATAAATAGTATATTCATTTCTAATGATATCTGTTTTTAAAAATGTATTATTTATTACATATTAAAGATACCTTTTATATGATCTTCAAGAATTTTCAAAGTATTCTCTCGAAACTCAATTATTTGATTGTGTTTGATTTCTAATTTTTCCTTGTTTTCTAATATAGTTCCGATAATGCTATTAGCTTTCTGTAATATATCTTCTATGTCAGTTTTTCGATTTGTCATCGTTTCTATCATTTGATCTTCTATTTGTTTAGCTTTAGATATGCTTTCTATTATATTGAAATATTCCTTTTGCAAAAGTTTTATATTTACAGAGTGTAAGTTAGATAATTCTTTTATTTGTTGAGCATGATCATTCTGTTCAAATCAATTTAATATAGTTCTTTTTATTTCAGAAACATTTAACAGTGTAGGTGTATAAAATAAATGAAATAAAAAATGTATAAAACAAATGAAGTTAATTAAATACTTTAATAATCAGTAAAATAAAATTATCTATTATTATAGAAATCATTAAAACAATTATAAGAATAGACTCTTGATGTATTATTCATACTATAATTATAATTATACAAGTATGATTTTTTTCTGCGGTGAGTCTGGCCCCTTAGCTTTACTATTAGTATAAAATATTTAATATTGTTTAATTCTAACTTCATTCGAAACTTAGAATTTCGGTATTTTAGAGTTGTATAATTTTAGAATCTTAAAACTTTAGAATGGTGAGAAGGTCAATTTTGAGAGAAAGGGAGATATCAAATATAAAAAATGTAACCTTTAAATTATGAATTTCTTCTTTGTATTGATTTTCTATTTGTTCCTTTTCGTCCTTCAATTTTTCTAATTTTGTCATGTAGTCTGTTTCCAAACATTCTATTTCCTGCCTAGTCCTCTCTTCTGATTTCATCATTGCTTCTTTTACAAATGAAATTTGTCTCCTAAAAATTAGATTTTCTTACTTTACCTTACTTTTATTAATATATATATATAATTCTTATTATTTATATACTATATATATTATATATATGTATTTACTGATAGAATTCTGTTTGAAATGTTATTTCATCCTTGTGTCTTTCATTTACAGTGGACAACAAAACTTCTAATTTTGATTTTTCCACTTGTAACTTTTTTATTATCTTTTCCATTTCTTTTATTTCATTTGTAAATTCTTTTTCTCTACGATTTGACTCTGATGTACAACTTGCATAAACTGATGTTGTACTTGATGTAGAAATAAGCTGTGTCATCAATACCTTAAAAAAAGAAAAAATATATATCTTTATGCTCTTTCCAACTCTCTAATGCATTTTATTTAACAAACCTTACTTGAATATATTGATCAATACGTTCTTGTTGCATTTTTATTTGTTTTTCTAATGAAGCTTGCCTTTCAAATTGCAATTTTAATAAAGTATTAAATTGTTCTTCTTGATTATGGAGTATAGTATACTGAGCATTTGATACGTTATTTAATTCTTTGTTCTGTTGCGAAATCACTGTTGCAGTTTTTAGGTCATGTTCTGGTTGCTGCATATTAATAAGTGCAGTTTGTTGATTAAATTGTGTACCAAACAACATTGAAAGATGTTTTGAATGAACAGATGCAGCTTTTGAATCACTTGCATCAGATATCTTTAAATCTGTTGCACTGTTTATAGAAGTTTCAATGTTTTGCTTAGATGTAGATATTTCATCTGTTTCTTTCAGCTTTTTTTCTGATTTTCTATCTTCTAATTTTGTTGAACCACCCAACCATTCTGGCAAATTTTCTTCTGTTTTAGTACTTTGTAATTTTAAATCTTTGCTTTGCACATTTTCATTTATCATCTTAAAAAAATATAAAAATTACAAACGTCATCTGCATTATTGTAAAGACTGATAATGATATGTTTTCTCTATATTAATAATGATTAAATATATTTACCAGTTGAAGACTTTGTTCTGGTAACAAACTAGTGGATAATAAACCTAGAGGATCATTTATAAGTTCTATATTCCTTTTACCACTTTGAGATTCTTTAGTAGAAATTTTAGTTGATTTGCTAATGGATTGAGATCTTGTGTCTGGTAAAGTACTCATAGATTGTACCATAGTGTCCGATTCCATTTTTTTAATATACTTAGGATTAACAGAATCCAGAACTATTGATGAATGAAGTTTATTTCCAGATATGTTATCTTTTAATGATAGCCTTCTTGATTTATTGTCTATTGTATCTGACTTATCAATTAAATTTGTTAAAATATCTTCATCTCTTTTAGCTATTTTTTTTAACTGTTCAGTTTTTTTTTCTGTAGTTAATTCATTTTGCAATGTACTAAAAATATCCTTAGAAACAGAGTAACTGTTTTGTCTCTGTGAAAATAACTGATTATCTTCTTGCTCAAAATTAAATTTTGATTCCAATTCATTGTTTAATTTAATACTTGTTGTAGGTATAATTGGTGTTTTGATTTTAAACAAATCTTCTGCCATGTTACTTTTACTATCAGATGAAAATAATCTCTCCTCTTTAGTAGAAGTTTCTTCATCAGATGGCAAATCAAATAAGAAGTTATCTTTGATAGAATCTATATACAAATAACATTTCATTTATTATAACTTGGGAATAGTAATATGAAAGAATTTTTTATGACAAATAAAAATACAATTATTCAAATATACATAAAAATTCTGTACCTAATTAGAAAACATTATACTAAACATCTCATTGATAGTTATATAAGTTTTTTAAATAAAAACACTGATTTTAAAATTTATAATAGTAATAATACTTTAATTAATTATAAGTTATAACTTTAATTTTATTTTTATTATAATTATATAAACACCTTTAAATATAACTTTCTTTTTCGTTTCCCCATTCATCTGCATATGACAATCTTTAACAGTACTTGCAGTAGATTCTGATTTTTTAAATGATTCATTAAATAATTCTATGTTTAAGCTATCCATATCTTCTAATGTTTTTGTAATTATTTCTAAATTTGAAGTTCCAGTAAGATCAATCATCTAAATACATACATCAAATTTAAAAAAGTGAAACAAATATTTGTTCAATTCATATATTCAACTAAAGAAGTAATAAATACCTTTATATAAGTAAGTACATACAAATCGAATGTCTATAATTGTGTGAAAATTGTTTTAAATATCTTTATTATAAAATTAAAAATATAAACATTGCTACCAACAACTAGAAGAATTCGATTTTGTTTAATTGTATTTTATTTGAATTGTTTGGGTATTAGTAAACAGTTTCCATGGCAACTATCCATGGAATTAAATACAGTACATAACAATAAATGAATAACTAGCATAGCGTAAATAAGAAACATTTTTGTATTATTTTATATTTAAAATTATATAAAAAGTTTAAAATTCAAATTTGTTTTGATAAAAAAGTAAAAAAAAATTTATTTTATAAATAAATATTACTGAATTTATTCAAGATTTAAAAAAAGGCCCTTTATTAGGATTTTATTTGGATGTTTATTTATCTAGTTATATCAAAATGTAGTGGGGAAATAATGAATAGTAGGGGAAGTTGATGGAAACAGTTTTTTGATATCGTAGGTATGAGTTCCATGTTCGTTCAAATCGATAATACGTTACTGTTGATATTACATGAATGTTTGCACTTCAAAAGTGTATGTCTTGATCTTTTCCATTTTCAATAGATTTAAATTTTTTGCCGTATAAATCTGCAATGCAGAGTGTGATTAATTCCGTAAAAGGCACTGCGCTTGGTGTTGCTGAATACTTAACCCCTGTTTTGAAGGTAGGGTTGCACATAAATATACTGTCTTAAAAAATAATATTGTTTAAAACAATGTAATGTCATACAATGAACGTATTGTAATTATACATTATTCAGTTTCGGTTAATAGTGTGCTATTATGTTTTTATATTATAATAAATGTTGGATATAACGTTTATAAGACAATTTTGAAGTGTTAGATTTTGCAATTATTTTTTTAGCATTTTAATATAATTACAATAATGATATTAATAATAGTTCGCTCAATATTCGCTCATAATAGTGCTAAATATTGTGTTTTAAAAATTGTTTTCTACATTAGGTGATAAATGAATAACAGGAATTTTTAAAAATAAATTCATTTATTATGTATGGGCCTTTGTTTTTATGATTTCAAAATAGTATATGTGTTGCTTCTACATTATTGTTTTTAATATATTGTATAAGATGTAAATTTAATTATTTATAATCGTGTAATATATCATTTTGCATTATGTGATCTGATAATTTTTCATTTTTGAAAAATAAATATTTGTAGAAATGCGATTCTTAATATGGAATATACTCGTTATTCCATATCAAATATAATTTGTAATCTTAAAGGAAAGTAAGTTTCGAGAAACTGGAGTGTTAACACCAGAAGAGTTCGTAGCAGCAGGTGATCATTTGGTACATCATTGTCCAACATGGCAATGGGCTACTGGCGATGAAGATAGGATAAAATCGTATCTTCCTAAGAATAAACAATTTTTGCTGACTCGTAATGTTCCTTGCACTCGCAGATGTAAACAGGTATTGATTATTTACAATCACTACTTTATAATCAATGATTTATATTGTTACGTAGATACTCTAATAATAGAATATTTTAAAAACATACAAAAAATAAATTTTACATCTTTTTATTCTTATTAATATAAAAAAAGATACATATTATTTTACGTATATTTTATTAAATTAAAATATTTAGTTTTATACCAAAATTTGAAACAAATATGGTGACAAACTATTATATGTATGTATATATATATATCTATATCTATATATATATATATATTTCTGTGTTTTAATTTTAGATCGAATATAGTAAAGAACAAGAATGCATTATAGAAGCAGATGATCCAGAAGGTGGTTGGGTAGATACTCATCATTATGATACTACTCTTAGTGGAATTGAGGAAAGAGTAACAGAAATGACACTAGAAGAAACACAACTTTCTCAACCAATTGGTACAGTGGAAAATAATGAAAACGATGATGACGACGACGATGAAGATGCTGCAGATATGGAAGCTTTTGAAGTCAGTGGAATGTTAGATGAACAGGATAAGGTATTTAAAAAAAATACTTTATAATAGTTTATTCTAAACTTTGTTTTAAATTAAATAATATATCTTATACTTTACAACATTTGATTATTTAATTAAACTGAATAGTATGCAGCGGAAACTACAAAGAAACCGGTTAAGGAAAAGTGTGAGCTGTTTTCTGAAGGAGAAATTATTCATACACGTACATATGATTTATATATAACATATGATAAATATTATCAGACACCTCGATTATGGCTTTCAGGCTATGATGAGGTTTGTTTTTTATTTAATAAATTTACTTGTCAGTAATAATAGTATATGGATGTTTAATATATATATATTGTAGCTTTTAATTATAAATGAAAATTACTATTTTTAAGACACGAAGAGGTTTTCAATTTTAACGTACATTTTTTTTACATAAAAGAATCGCAAACCTTTAACAGTAGAAGAAATGTATGAAGATGTTAGTCAAGATCATGCCAAAAAGACTGTTACCATGGAAATTCATCCTCATATGCCTGGACCCCCTATGGCCTCCGTTCATCCTTGCAGGTAATTTAATGTAAATAAATTAGTTTTAAAGCAAACATTAGTGCCGAAATAATTTAAATAAAATTACAGACATGCTGAGGTAATGAAAAAGATCATTGAAACAGTAATGGAAGGTGGTCGTGAGCTTGGAGTACACATGTATTTAATAATATTCCTTAAATTTGTGCAATCTGTAATTCCTACAATTGAATATGATTATACACAAAATTTTATGCTAACTGCCTCTGGCTAGGAGTTTTATAAATTTTCATTGTACTTTAAGAATAATCGTGATTTTAGTTTTTAAATATAAAATAAAAAACAAAACTTCAGGAACTGTGAAGCGTATAACAATAAATGCGTTTAAATTCAGATAATTGTCATGTTTATATTCTTGTGTGATACTTAAATAGAAAATTGGATTAAACACACTCTTTAGTGTTAAAAAAACTTTTTCATAATTGATATCAATTGGTTTTCTTTAAAGATATACCAACTACTTAATATTTTATAGAATTCAAATTATTCAGTTGCAATCTTTTAAAAAATGAGCTAGTTCAACTTTTAGGCTTAGGTTACATTGGTAAAATAAGTATACAGTAAATACTCGATAAGTGTTCAGAATTTGGGACCGGCAAGGAACATTTAGCGAACAGAAGATTCGATTCTGCTAACCGTTTGTATTTTGCCGACGTCGACGAACGTAGAAAGAGATAGTTTGATAAAGAAGAAAGAGGGACTGAGAATCGAGGTGGTTGTAAAAAATTAAATGCCTACATATCGGTGAGACAATATGAATGCAACAAACAAACTTCTTTATTTTTTATTTTTTTTTAATAAAACTTTCACCAACATATTGTTGAGATTTTCCTGATTAAAATGAGACCAAACACGATATTGTTATGACAATTGGTTATGATGATTAGAGTTGTAAATGTTCCTCTTTTCTTGCTGTCTTTCTATGTTGGTCGACGTCGGCAAAATGTAAAGAGTCTAAGCATCTGTCCCGTAAATGTGCCGATGGCGAACACTTATCCAGAACTTGAAGTGAATCAAACCGGTTATTCTCGAACGGGGCAGTCTTCTACACGTTAACTGTTCGAAAAGCGAGCCCTGGTTCTTATAAGTGATCACAATTCGAGATCGTTGAGAAACATTTAGCGGACAGAAGATTCGATTCTCCAATTGTTTCTACTTTGCTGACGTCAAGGTAGAAAGAGACAGTAGATAAAAGGAGAAGATGGATTCGGAGCTGACATAAGAGTTCAAAATTAAATGCCTCCATATTTGTGAAACAACACTAATGCAACGACGACATTTTTTTATTTATACATTATATTTTTTTAAATAAAAATGTTATTAACACTTACATGAAATTTTTCTGATTAAAATTATTCATTCTTAAAACAGTACAAAAGTTGCAGGAAGATACAAAATATGGGATTATTTTAAGATTATTCACATTAGTTAAAATTATTATACCAATATCGTGTTTGGTCTCATTTTAATCAGGGAAATCTCATCAATATGTTAATGGAATTGTTATTTAAAAAAAATGAAAAATAAAATAATTTCACCGATACGAATGCGACACAGATCTTCAAAGGAAAGCCGCGCTGTATCATATTGCTCCCGTGCTTGCTCCGACGGGGAACCCCCTCAGTGGTGGGGATAAACCGCAAACACTTAACGAATAGATCCTTTCGAACACTTATTGAGTCTTTACTGTATTCCCTAGTTACAAGAAAATGTACCTGTCAGAAGACGAGTTTTTGTTCATTGTCTGATTACAGTAATGCTCGGTTAAATTTCACTACGTTCGGAAGTCAGCAGTGAAATCCTCGCGTGCAGGGTAGTGTTTGTATTCCCAGAATTGACTCGAGCAGAACTTGATAGAGTAAGAGAATAGATACGATAGGAGGAAGTGCGATAGACATACTATGTCTAGCAGCGACGGTCGAGGCACTGCACTTCAAAGAGACGCCGCGAGCGAAAAAAATAAACATGCAATAACGTGTAGGCGTTTAGTGGAAGGGAGAGAGTTTCGTCTCCCCGGACGCCTTGAGTTCGGGCCGGGGAGCGCTAGATGGCGGCGAGATTGAACGGTGCTCTCGCAAGCGCTTGCCCGGCATGCCGTTCGGATATATGTATATAAAGGGTGTCCAACGACTACGTCAACAGCAGCAGAGGGATGATTGACAAAGTGATTCTAAACAACTTTTTCCTTTGCCAAAATGTTGATTAAGGCCTCGTTTTCGAGTTATTAACACAAAACACTGGCCAATCAGAGCGCGCCTTTAGCGCGGGCCGAACTACGAGAGTGTTGGGTTTGCTCTGCGTTTAAGGGGGTAGACACGGCACGTGACCTCTCCGATTTTGGACGTCGGTATTACAGCAGTTTTTTCGTTGGGCCTGGTGGAGCCACTTGCGTGGTCTGTTACGAATTTGAAAGGTTTAATTCTCAGCTAGCGTGCGCGCAATACGATCTAGGAAGGCAACAGCGCCTCAAGTATTTTTACAAACACATTCAAACGCTCATCTTGCCAGAGGCATCGCGACAATACGGCTGAAGAACAAAATCGAAACATTGACGCGTGTTTAGAGTGAGATGTACGGTGATCATGCTATCCTTCTTTGAACCTAAATGATAGAATTGTCCCGCTCCGGTAAATTCTGACTGACTGAACGCGTGGATTTTATATGGCGCACCGTAG